CTGTAACATTTCGGATACGGGCTCCCGACAGGCAGCATACCTCCCGAGATGAAATGTCAGGGCGACAGATGGGCACCTCCGTCCCCCTCAGCAGAGAGTCTCCGACTACCACTACTCTACGTTTCCTATTCGCAGTGGTGGCAGCAGACCTCTCAGCCTTAGGGGTACGAGGCTTCTCCTCCTTTACTGTAAGGGGTGATTCCTTCTTTCCTGTATCAAGAAGAGCATAACGGTTACCTATTACCACGGCGGGAGGGTTCGGAGCAGGGGTGGAGCACTGCTTGCTGCCAGAAGTAACCAGCTGCCAGTGTCCACCCTGAGCCATCTCCTCCTCCACCTATCAGCAGTCCTGTGTACTGGGACAGCTACCTCAGCTGTCTCCCCATGGACACTGTCGAGGAATTGCTCGTGGATTTGGATGCTCCTCAACCTAGCCACCTCCTCCTGTAGCTCTCCCACCTGCTGCCTGACAGATTCCACCAGCAGGCACCTTTCACATTGGATGGTCCCCCCAGCCTGGATATCAGTAAGTGGAAATTGCAAGTTACAGTCTCTGCAAAACCACACCAGGATCTGGGTAGAAGCATCCATGCTCAGGCGCTCTGTCTGGCTACAGGCACAGGTGGAGGAGACAGAAGCAGTGCTGGCACAGGTGTTGCGGGTTTTCCTAACCATCGTAAGCCTCCCTCTGTCAAACTCCTGTCTGCAGCCCCCTGTCCGCTGAAAGGGTTGTTTAAGCAAGAAGCTTAGGTTTTAAGGGGAATAAAGGGAAAACAGATAGAACCAGCAACATGGATTTAATGTCTTTCATTCCTACCCACATGTGGGTTTTGTCCCATTAACATTGTTTAGTTGAGATGGGTAAAGGAAAACATTTGATCCAAAGATTTTAGACTTGGGTGCCTAAGGTTAAGCCCATAAATTCTTATTTAGCCGAAGGGAAAAATATCAAGACATCTTTATCTTAGCGATGCTGAGCACCCACAGATCCTTTTGATTTCAATCAGACCTACAAGTGCAGATCTGAAAATCAGACCACTTTCCCTTAGGAGTTTTAAGTATGAATTTAGGTGTCTAACGTTAGGCACCCAATCCTTAAAAATATGGCATTGGGCTGTACAAACTGTTAACACAGATAAACTGGAAAATTTCTGATGGCTCATAATCAAATAGAGTGTCCCTTGTACTGCTGTTTAGGAAACCAGACGTACCCATTGTTAACAGTTCACTATTCAGAACTGTTCACAAATTTTTTGTTAATGTTTTTTTCATGGAACGCTTTTGCTGAATAGCAGTTATGTTTTTAAAATGTCACGCTTCAGATATTTAGCAGAGGTTTCTGTTTTTAATTAAAAAGTGAAAATTTTTCACTATTTAAGGGTTAATTACATTGTCTGTGTTTGATGTCAGTAGAACTGTACTGTTCCCTAAAGTTTACATTAAATACTGCTGAAGTGCTTAGTTTCCAGTAAAAGTCTGCAATTTATTTTTGTGACAGTTCTATCGAAACATTTTATTTTGTTACCTTAAACAATCTCCTGTATTCCTTCAGAGTCCTGTAATAGGTGTCGTGTCTGCTGTTCCTTATTTGCTTTGTTTTATATTTTATGATGTTCATTTATATGTTACTGAAAGTCTACCTTTTGCAGAACAAAAGGTCAGTTGAAAAAGCAACCCATGTCGGGCTCCTCTGAATGTATCAAAGTGGAACTTAAAAAAAAAAAAAAAAAGGAAATACATCAAAATCTCAAAGGGTAATTAAGAACTTTATTGTCAACAGTTACACTGTTTCAAGAAACAAGTCTATCTGGAAGCTAACGGAGACAGGGTGATAAATGGCTGACTACCATGAAAAACATGTTTTGATATGGTTCTTTCAGAAATGATTAAGGAAAACAGACTGAGCAATAAGATTCATGCCAATGAGATAATCATATTAAAAAAATGGGAATAAGGGCTTTCCTTGTGATGCTGCCAAGCTCTGAAGTCTGTAAAAAGGTAGTGTAAACAGATTGCCCCCTTGGGGCGCACACACGCTTTTCATATTTGGAGTCTAGGCCTGTGAAGCCATATGAGGAGTTTGGCCTTTGTCATTTCGTCATGATTATCAAATTCCTTAAAGTTGCCAGTTTGATTGAAGGGAATCTTAGTTATAATAGAGCAGTGAGAGAGCTTGAGCATTCAGTCTTGAATAAAGTTCTGTGTTTTAACAGCTTCATTGGATACATAATTCTCATACCCTAGACCAGGAGCCCCCAAGCGCCCGCCAGGGCATCTAAGTACGCCAGCGTACTGGCTGGCGGACAAGTATCCACCGAAATGCCGCTGAGAAGCAGCGTCATCCAGAGGCGTCGCTGCCAAAATGCCGCCGAAAATCTGGATGACGCTGCTTGTCGGCGTCATTTCGGCAGCGATGCCTATTGATGCCGCTTGTCGGCGGCATTTCAGCAGATGCTCATCTGCAGCCACGGTCCTCTGTGGCTCATTGTTTGGCGCCCGCCAGACGGAAAAGGTTGGGGACCACTGCCCTAAACTCTGTTCTTCACCAATGATGGAGGTTGCTTCATCTCTTTAAATTGCTAAGGGAATTTTTAACATAAGTTTTGAAAGCAATTGTTCTTGAAACATCCTCAGTCATGAAGCTACCATGTTGAGCAACAGTGTTGTTTGAAAAAGCTGCTGTATTCAGTTTGGTATCTATTGGGCCTCCTATAACTTTTGAAGCCATATCTGTTGCATGGGATGCATTTTTCTACAAGATTGTGGAATTTGCAGAGATGCCAGATGTCTGAAATCTACTCTTGTTGGAATCCCTAGTTTGACCCAAAACAACAAAGGTTCAACTATTTTATTTCAAGTTTTGCTAAGAAAACAAGAACGGGGGGTGAACTTATTTCAGAAAATCACAGCTTCAAAGACTTCACTCTTTTTGTCAGCTAGCACTTCAGAAAACCTACTATAGTTTCTAAATAGTTGATGTAAAGTCGTATGTTTTACTTAATTGTGTTTCTGAATTTTTTTCTTTGAGTTGTCATTGGAACATCTTGCCACTGTCCATCTGATCAAAACAATTAATCTTTCTGAAATTACTCCTCAGACAGGAATGAGGACCAGCAGAGAATGAACAATGTATGCATGCAGTCACGTGAAGCTCAGCATTGCCCTTGAGCCTTAGCAATTTACAGCAGCTAACTTCCAGAGTTCATTTTAGGGACACTTTATCAGGGTCTGTAGGTGCATAGCTTGTACTATTTTTGTGTAAGCTAAATCTGGGTATACACTTGCACAGGTACAGGGTTCATTGGTGTTTTATTGGTTAGAGACTTTAGCAGCCTACTAGCTGGAGTTCACAAGTTATAATAAAATGACATTAAATTGACATTGATACCTTTACATGACTTGTGTATCTTTATCGCTTCATATTTATGGAATTTATTTGCAAACTATTTATAATTTTTTGCATGATTTTCTGTGCTGCTGGCATTCGTTTGTTTGAAGGCCAGAAGAGACCATTGTGACCCTCTTGTCTGACCTCCTGTTGACACAGGCCATAGAACTTCCCCAAAATAATTCCTAGAGCATAGTTTTTAGAAGAATGCTAATGAATTGTATAGGTTTATGATGACATTTTGTTTGTTAATTTTTAAATGCAGACGGTTGTTGACTTGTCAAAGTGATTACAATACACAAGGAGGTACAATAAATGAAAGTATTACCAGAAGACATTTAGATGTATTCATAGTCTAATATGGTTTGAGAAGAACCTTTGCACTAGCAAACCCTTTTTTCCCCTTGTATCAGTTATTTTTATACTACTGTCAACTGTTTACACTGAATATAGCATGGATATGTCTACTAATTTAGTGCACGGCAAGCCGTGATGTGAACATACAGCGCTGTAGCTTGCTGTGCACTGAAGTGGTTGTGTTGCCTTGCTTCCATGTAATAAAAGTTCCATGTGCACATTATGGAACTTTTAGTATATGGTAGCAGGATCCGCATGGCCATTTAGTGCATGGCAAACTAGAACGCTGTGGATTCACACTTCAGTTTGCCGAACACTAAGTCTCCATTCAGCCAGCCCCTTACTGCTTATGATGCCTTGTGTGACCAAGGACGTTGTCAGTTGAACATTGACAGCAAGTGAATACTTGGATACTGCACTTCACCATTTACTGTAATCTGCCATATTAGGTACAATTATCTGGGACTGCTGGAAATTTCTGTGAAAACAAACACTCCTGGTAATTTTTTTTATGTCCAAGTTGAGCTTACATGAGCAGATTTAAAAAAAAACAACACTTCACTGTATGCACATAAATGTTTCCTCTTTATTGTTTGACAAATCTTCTGGATTAGTGGTAATTATAGGACAACATTGGTCTGCTGTCAGACAATCTGATACCAGTGATGGGTGAAGTGTAAGAACCTGAATAGAATAAAACAGAATCAGGGATACTGGCCTTCTCTTGCAAGTCAGGTGAGGGTTAAGGTATTTCACCTAAAATTTCATACCCTCTGCTTTTCATAACTAGCCTTTGCTAATAATGAACGTGCCTAATTTATATGCACAATTATTTAATCCCGGTTTTTGTTTTTAGGATATAGTATTGATGCAATAAAAGCGTAGTTTGTTAGTGTACGGCCTGAAACACAGATTGTTCTTTAGTATTTTAGTAATATTTTTTTAAAAATTCATAAATCAAGCTTTCTAAACATTTTACAAGTGTATCTGAATAAAGCTGTTATAAAGGTGACAGTGAAGGACAAAATAATATAGTTAATTCTAAAACCTCATGAGGTTAACACAAAGTATCTTTACATACTTTGTTAGGTTTGTTTTCCAGGATATACATATTTTTATGAAAAAAGCAAATCAGGAATTATATTTACAGTAACATGTATTGGTTCAAATAACAAATCTGTGACATAATTGCAAAAATATTTTATCTAATTTGTGCTGTTAGAAACTGAGTGAAAAGATGACTTGTGGCCTTTTTTTTATTTTTATTTTTTGGTATGTCATATGAAGAAGTAGTGGATTAGAATAGTACTGAAGATATAGAAAGCCAGTATAAAATATTGTGTCAAGAGGCTGACTGTGGTGTAAAGTCACTTTCAAATGTGTAGAAGTAAAAATCAATAACTTGACAGTTGCGCTATTTTTCTGTGTGCTAATAACAGTATTCTCTCTTTCTAGCTTTCTATAATTATGATGCAAGGGGAGCAGATGAACTTTCCTTACAAATAGGTGACACCGTACATATATTAGAAACATATGAAGGTAAGTAAAACACATATTTGATTTAAAACCATTGTTCATACAGTCACACTGCTCTTGTGTGTGTGATTATAACATATCATTCTATTTTAGCAGATGGTGAACTACTATTTTTTTCATGACTAATAAAATGTTGTATTGGGGACAGAATTAACAAGTGCTACATGTAAATGAAGAGGCAGGTGATAAAATACCTAATGAATATCTTTTTCTGAATGCACAATTTCTTTTTCTATGCAAGATAAATGTTCTCTCACCCTTAATTTGTATGGATCAATGGTAACATCTGTTGAGTGGTTAGCGAAATGATAGATGTTCTCTAGATATCTCCAGATAATGCACAAGACCTGTCTGCTTCTTAATGGTGTTAATTTGAATTTGAAAGTTATTTACCCTCTAAATTATTCATATCTCTTTGTAAAATAGATACATTTGCTACTGTGTGACTTATTCAGTCAACATTTAAAAATAAATAAAATGTGGTATATTAATTTTGATGAGAACTAGTAGCAATATTGCATACAACATAAATTTCAGTTAGTACTTCTCCTTGATTCCCATAAAATAGTAATTTATCTTGAGAAATATTTAATTTGAGAATGAGGGAAAATTCTTAGTTTTGCTGCTGTTGAGTGATCAAATAGCAATGATTAAGTACAACCTTCTTTTTTTGGGGTCACATATCCTTGATTTCTCATTCATTCAGTCAGTTGTATGATGTGTCTTAGAGAAGCAGTGATCTAGATGGCTTTTGTGTTAGAAAATTAGAAATCATCACAGTAATAGGATAACTTTCTGTATTTTGGATATGTGATTTGCCTTTGTACATGGGTTTAAAATTTCCGCTTGTCACTGCCAAAGAATCTGTTAGGGAAGAAAAATTAATACTGGTGGTAAGTTTGTTTTAGAAATTGGATTCAAGGTGATTTTTATTATGTAGATCTATTAAAATAGGAAAGTTGCTAATTAGATCAACTAACCTTAATTTGGTTAACATATACAATGAATATACTAACTGTTCATCAGCTAGCAATTTGTTAATGAATTCAGTTTGCACTAGCAGTAAATGACCCCTGATACTGTCAAAGCTGCAGAGAGGGAATCTGTCCACTGAAAATTAATCTGCATACTCTGTACTTTAAATATTTACAGTTTTATTATACATTTCTTTTAAATACACATGTAAACAGGAATATTTGAATGCTGTACAATTATACATAATTATAATACATAGTGCCCATCTTTAAAAAGAGAAATAAGGACAATGCGGGGAATTACAGACCAGTCAGCTTAACTTCTGTACTCGGAAAGGTAATGGAGCAAATAATTAAGCAATCAATTTGCAAACACCTAGAAGATAATAAGGTGATAAGTAACAGTCAACATGGATTTGTTGAGAACAAATCGTGTCAAACCAACCTTTCTTTGACAGGGTAACAAGCCTTGTGGATAGAGGGGAAGCGGTAGATGTGGTATATCTTGACTTTAGTAAGGCTTTTGATACTGTCTCACATGACCTTCTCGTAAACAAAATAGGGAAATACAACCTAGATGGAGCTACTATAAGGTGGGTGCATAACTAGTTAGAAAATCATTCCCAGAGAGTAGTTATCAGTGGTTCACAAGCATGCTAGAAGGGCATAATGAGTGGGGTCCCATAGGGATCGGTTCTGGGTCCAGTTCTGTTCAATATCTTCATCAGTGAATTTAGATAATGCCATAGAGAGTACACTTATAAAGTTTGTGGATGATACCAAGCTGGGAGGAGTTGCAAGTGCTTTGGAGGATAGAATTAAAATTCAAAATGATCTGGACAAACTGGAGAAATGGTCTGAAGTAAATAGGATGAAATTCAATAAGGACAAATGCAAAGTACTCCACTTAGGAAGGAACAATCAGTTGCACACAGGCAAAATGGGAAATGACTGCCTAGGAAGGAGTACTGCGGAAAGGGATCTGGGGGGTCATAGTGGATCACAAGCCAAATATGAGTCAACAGTATAATGCTGTTGCAAAAAAAGCAAACCCCATTCTAGGATGTATTAGCAGCAGTATTGTAAGCAAGACACAAGAAGTAATTCTTCCGCTATACTCCGTGCTGATTAGGCCTCAACTGGAATATTGTGTCCAGTTGTAGGCGCTACATTTCAGGAAAGATGTGGACAAATTGGAGAGAGTCCAGAGAAGAGGAACAAAAATGATTAAAGGTCTAGAAAACATGACCTATGAGGGAAGATTGAAAAATTGGTTTCTTTAGTCTGGAGAAGAGAAAACTGAGAGGGGACATAACAGTTTTCAAGTACATAAAAGGTTGTTACAAGGAGGAGGGAGAAAAATTGTTCTTAACCTCTGAGGATAGGACGAGAAGCAATGGGCTTAAATTGTAGCAAGGGCGGTTTAGGTTATACATTAGGAAAAACTTCGTAACTGTCAGAGTGGTTAAGCACTGTAGTAAATTGCCTAGGGAGGTGGTGGAATCTCCATCATTGGGGATATTTAAGAGCAGGTTGGACAAACACCTGTCAGGGATGGTCTAGATAATACTTAGTCCTGCCTTGAGTGCAGGGGACTGGACTAGATGACCTCTCGAGGTCCCCTCCAGTTCTTTGATTTTATGATTTCTATGATAATGGATGCATTTTCCTAATATGTGAATAACACTGATGCTTGGACAGCATGTTTAAAGCTTGCCTGTGACACAGGTAGCATCTGTCTATCATAGATGTGTAAAATTTTATACTTTTTGAACCCCCTGCATGCTTCAGATGAAATGGGACAAGTGAGATGACTCACTTTTCCCTAGACTGGATAATAGAATGACCTTCACACACACATCTAATGGTTATTAGGCCTCAACAGTGCTGGCTGGGTTTATTTAAAAAGAAGTTCAAATAAAATAATGTTCCTCCAAAGGCTGATCTGCTTCCTACCATGCTTGATCATTACTCATCCTCTGTATTGGGAAATAGGAGGCTATAATCCTTAGTTCTGTCATTCAAAGGAGCAGCCACTTCCAAGCAGTTTTTCCACCTGTTTGATCTGCTGGTCACGCCTTTAAAACAATATTCAGACTGTACCCTTCTAAACTTTCTCAGCATTTGCACTAATCTTGTTTCCCAGATACCCTAAATAGAAACTTGTTAAATCACCGGCATCCTATAATTAACCTGTCTCCTGTCAGTTTCCTGGCAGTTGTGATGCAGTAAAATGGGACTTGTGATGCTGATAATAGGAAAGTGTGTCAGAAAAATTCTTTGACCTTCCGGGTGCATGTTTTGCCTAAGAGTTGAGGTTTTGCTTCCCAGCTTTTTGCACAAATTTCTTAACTAAATGAATTAGTGATTTTGACTTAAGCTGCTGCCTAATCTCAAACTTAATTGTTGCTTTATTATGACAGTAGAAATAAAAACCTCTACATTAATGTGTTTTATTGCTGTCAGGAACAGAGAGAAACAATGCAAAAGTTTTGGTTTCCTGATTTTTGTCCAAGAGTTATTTTTATTGTCACTACCAAGCATAAACTTTTAAAAGAAAAAAAAAAAGACATTGATGTCAGTTGCACAAGAGTAATGGTATCCCATTGAAGTGTTCTACAAATGCCCTTATATAATAGTCCTTTTAGAATTCTGTGCTGACCTGCATGGGTCAGTTCTTTTTTTTTTTTTTTTTTTTTTTTTAAATTCTCTGCACTAGGTACTCCTAAACTCTCTTAATAAATAGCACACATAAAGGTAGTTTGCTGGTGGTTTGCTATCTCTGTTTGCCTCTCTGTGGATCACCACCTTGTAGTGGTGGAGAAGCTTGCGTGTCTCAATGACCCCAAGAGCGATGCTGCCTGGAGTACATGGCAGAACGGTCAAGGGCGAGGTTCCAGACAAAGTGTGATCCAAGAAGTCCCTAACAGCAGAGCAGACGGAGGATAACTGCACAGTGGAGGTGAAACTGTTGTGTAATGTTACAACGGCTGTGAAGGTGGATGAAGGCTGCAGCAAATAGGGGATTTCCAATCGTCACGGTGTCCATGCCATTGGTTTCAAGTCTTCTATCTGTCAAGGGTAGTGTGGTGACTGTTGTGCACTAGTCTCCCCACTTTAAAAGAAGTCCCGCACAGGCATCTTCCAGTTTTTAGGAAAATAACATTTGCACAAGTCAAAAGTCCGGTGGCGATCGGTGAGTGGCGACGGGAACAGGACAGTGAAATCCGGAAGTTCCTAGTCACAGACCAACACACAGGCGGTGGGTGTGTGATATAGTCGTCTTGCTCGAGGATTGAGGCGGGTCGAGCATCTTGGCAGCTGCATCTACGACTGAGCAGTCCTTTTTAGGATCCACTCTGCTCACCCCACATGGGGAGGGGGTTAGAAAAGGTACCCTAAAAATAGCCTTGCCTCTGTTTCTCCTGGCTGGATAGCCGCATCCAGCAGGATCATCACCTAAGCAATCGAAAATGTAAGAAACTTTTCAACTTTGGAACTTGGAGTGTACGTACCCTGATGGACAACTCAAACAGCGACCGTCCAGAGTGACGTACAGCCATTATTGCTTGTGAATTGAGTCGGTTTAACATCGATATTGCTGCTTTGTCCAAAAGTAGAAGAGCTAATGAAGGACAGGGTGAGGGAGGAGAAAGGAGAATACACCTACTTCCGGAAGGGAAAATCTATAGATGAACCCCAATTGCATGGAGTGGGCTTGCTATAAAGAACAAGCTTGTAAGTTGCCTCTCTGAGGTACCAGTTGGCATCAATGAGCGGTTTATGAAACTCCGACTGAGGCTCACCAAAAATCAACAGGCAACTATTGCAAGCGCCTATGCACCAACACTGGAAGCTGATGAGAATGTAAAGGAAGATTTTTATTCTCAGTTGGAAGCCGTTTTATCAGAGACCCCTACAGCAGACAAGATCATCCTTCTGGGGAATTTCAATGCATGTGTTGGATGAGACTCAGACCTGTGGAAGGGAACAACCGGGAAAGAAGGAGCTGGCAAAAGTAATTCAAAT